AAGGCGTCAATGAGTTTGAGCAGGAGTACAGAGACCCAGCCAATGACCAAAGTACTCCATACCCGCCGTCTCCGTACGCCAGCAGCGGCCCCACGGGCTACCAGCAGTCGCCTTTCTCCAACAACCAGGAGCAGCCGGGGGAGTACCAACCTCCAGCCTACTGAAGGACTGAGACTCAAACGCATGAATCAGAACAGGAGAGTTTGCTTTTTAAATAAACATGTGTGCCACCGGTTTCATTTACAACTCAGACTGTTCTCTGCACTCCCACTTACTTCCCTGCAGAACTTGTTTGCACATGTTTGGGTGCACTGAAGTGTTTTTTTTAGTTAATCTCATTGTTGTAACATGTGTGGTTTGTGCCACACAGAGCAGGTGGAACTATAGTACTTTTTTTGATAGGAGAATGTTTTGGCAAGAGAGAGTGATAGTGCGGTTGTTGTCTTTGTACCAAACCAACCAGTTTTGACAGTGCCCCCTTTTGCTTAGCTTATGAGTCCAAAGTGTCAAAGCAATAATTAGCCAACAGGTTAGGATTTACTCTGTTGCCAGGACATTTGCTTTGCATTCTTTAGATGGACAATATAGTTTTTTAGTTTAATGAATATGTTACTGATTAGAACATATATTTTCTTCATTTACACAAGTTCAACAACAGTAGATTAGTGTAACACTTTTGTACATTTTGATCTTTGACCTCAAAACAAGCCCATGTTACTAAATCAATGGGTGCAATGAAAACTCTGTAACTAGTGTAGTCATGTTTTTTTCCTTTCTTAAAAATCAACCACTGTAAAATGGCTTTTATGCACTGAAAATCACTTCTGTTAGGCAGTTGATTGCTCATTTTTTATCTTAGATTGTTCATTTTAATGTTAATTCTGCCACAATTACTATTTAGTATAAGGGTGTTTTGTTTATATATGAAGGTTGCCAATACATTGAATTGCATCAGCTATCTCTAGAAGTGTAATGTGCCTTCCTTGAGTTCACTTACAGTTTAAAAGAAAACCCTTTCACAAATGTTTAGCCAAAATGTGGTTTCAGGAATTCAGTGATGTTTTGCTTATTTGATATATTTATTATCTAATTTAATCTTTTCAATCAGAGAACATGACAATCAGACCATTCTTTTTTTTAATCACTTTTCCTCTTGCTTTTTCTAAACTGCAGTTGTGCCTTTGCATGTGTTGCAGTTTCACTGTTGTGCTCACGGCTTTACAATACTTCCCTGTTAAAGTGCCTTTATACAGAATTCTGTATCACACGCAGAATAAAAAAAGTTTTTGCTTTGAACCTCTGCGTCAGCTCTTAATGTATGTCCTCTTCTTGAGAAAGACCCGGATTCTGTGTAGGGCTGTGCTCCTTGGGCAAATATTTGAATAGTGATAGTGTTTGAGAATGTGGAGGAACGGTGGACAGTGTGCAATGCCTATATCAATGTAAAGAGTAAAAGATATGTGTTTCAAAAGAAAATGTAAAAACAAAAAAGGTGTATTCTCACATTATATATAACCATATGGTTTTCAAAGTATAAGGTGGGACTTCAAAAAAGATTCATAGGAAGATCAGTGATTAGAAATAAAGAAAATACATTTTATTTAAATAAGTAAGCCAAGACACTGTACTGAGAGTATATGTGAAGAACCTGAATCAATGTTTCTTATAACACCAAATATTGTCAAACCTTTGTTTAACGATTGGAGAAAAAAAAGATGTGTGTCTAAGTTCTTTTTTATGTATTGTGGAAACCAGATAGTTCACATGTTTTTCCGGCATAACTCGGTTAGTGATGGAACAATATGATAATTGAAACTGTCTCAGTCAAATCCATACAGCTGTAGTATCAGAGGTGGGAAGTAACTAAGTACATTTATTCAAGTAGCATATTTAAGTGCAATTTTGAGATACTTGTACTTTACTTGAGTATTTCAATGTTATGCTACTTTGTACTCCACTACAATTTAGAGGTACACTGTGTAGTCCACTACATTAATTTAATATACAGTACCTTTAGTTACTTTACATATTTGCATACATTATGTGAAATAATCAACACTTTAATAAGACTTTAGTTACACCTGGAGTAAATTCACAATCTACCCTGCAGTATACAAAGTAATTAAAACTACCAGCTTTGATAACACTTTAATGCATCAATAATAATAATCAAAACATAGATTATATATGATTGTGAATTGGACCAATCTGCATAATGAGTGCTTTTACTTTTGGTACTTTTGATGCTCATACTTTTCTACTTTTACTCGAGTAACATTTTGAATGCAGGACTTTTAATTTAAACGGAGTACTCCTACACTCTGGTACGTCTAATTTCACTCAAGTACAAGATATGAGTACTTCTCCCACCTCTGTGTAGTATGTCCATTTGCACATATTTTATTTTTAAAGGATTAAGTTGACGACGCGTGGTTCTCAAATTTCCAACAGTACGTGAAGCCACCGCTTGACAAACCCTCTTCCACCCACCGCGCGCATGCAGTGCACGCTGTCGTCGTCATCAGTGCATACAGGAAGTAATGAACGGCTGTCGGATAAACGGGACACGGAGGAAAAGGCAGCCGAGGAAAAAAGATTTAGAATAATGACATCTGAGCTACAACCACCGGCGGACTGCGAGCTGAACATCTAACACCCGTGGTGAGTAGAAGACATGAGGAGAGGGGGGGGGGGTGTATCTGAACGCAGCCATTTGTGATGGCATCTGTGTTAACCTCTGCGCTGCTGGCAGGACAGGGTCATGAGCTGATAACTAACAAACACACACACAGATAAGAAGTCGCTGTGTGAGGGAGATGAGGGAGACAACCTGCTGCATCCCTTAACAACATAACTCTACTAACAAACTGTTGATCTTTTATTTAGACTACTTTGCACCTAGGGTCCCTGGTGTCTCAAAACCAAATAAGATATACTTTAAATACGACTATTGTGGTTACCTTTATTATCCAGATACTTCTGAATGTATAAATGCAACATAAAATCAACTTGTTACCCTAATGCACATCTGTTTGGGGGCGCCTTGACATCCAGAGGATTGGGAATCTACCCTACAGCAATAAGTGAACTTTTATGGGCCTCACATATTCTCTCTGTGTCCTTGATCTGTTCCCTTTGAAGCACACCTCCCCAGATGTCATCCTTTTGGGCAGCACAAAGCAGAGATACTCACATTTGTTACATCAAGGAACCACCTGTACTTGTGCATACTGTGACAGCTCTTCTGTATTTTAAATGATGTCATGCTATTGTGCAAAATGACTATGAGAACAACTTTGATAAGCTCAGACATGTTCAAAAATGTATACTTAAATAGAGCTGAAACATTATTTTATTAATCAATAAATTGATCAAAATAAGATTAACTGGCATTCCTTTTGATAATCATTTACTTTAAAACATTTTAAGAATAACTGCAACTGATTGTTTTCATTATCCTATAAATGTAGCCAAAATAATCTGAAAATATTGGGATGGTTTCACAATCATTGAAAAGCAACCAAGTCATCTTTCTAGCTCTATTTTCAAGCAAAAATGCCCCCAAAAACATCCAACTGCTACTATATCCTTAGGTGTTTGCACTGTCACTGCTGATGAAGTCGCCAGGTTCTTCTCGTTTATCCAGTTAAATAAATATGTATCTAGTCATTATTAAATGGATGGCTTTCTCAGAACAAACAGTTTGGCAACATCTCTGAGTTGATTAATTTCTAATGTGTCGTGTTGTGTATTTTGTCACATCTCCTAACCCCACATTTTGTATTACGCCTTTCCTTTAACTGTGCAACATTCAGTTAAGAACGTTTTTTCTAACCTCTGGTACCTACGGCTACGATGAATGATAACTTCATGTATTGTGTTGGCGCCCTGAAAGGTTTGCCCCTTTGGACTGGAGCATAATCCAGGTCTAGTTAAAGTCCACCAGCATCGTAACAATCCTTAGTCATGGTTGAACTGCAAATAATCAGTGATCAGAAAGAGCACAAGACCGATTGTGGAGGTCTGCTTTAAGGAGAGAGAAGTCATCCTAATGACTCAGGGTCGGCTTTCAAGCAGCAGGAGACGGAGGGGTAAGCCTTTAATTAATTTGTTTCAGTCAAGGTTATTTCTGGGAGAATTTCAGATAGGATAGTTTCTTGCCTCAGAGTGCGAGACCTGATGTCGCTGCTATAATGGGCTGCTGTTTGGCTCGGGAGGCCCCTTATGAAAGGGTCTTTCACCTCCCGTGCTCCTTTCGAAGAAACGCAACCATTTTTAGGCCACAGGAGTGCAAAGCTCCTGAGGTCGAGTTAAGAGGACCCTGGAATTTGTTTGGGATTAATTACACACATTCTGTATTTGACTATTCCTGGTGGGGACCCCCGAGACACGTCACACTGGTCTGTTGGGAGTTTAAGCAAATATCAGTGTATGAAATATAGTTTGCTCTACCTCTGTAATGTCACAAAATGTATTTTATCCACGTTCAGGTGTAAACCTAAGTATCAGCACTACTTCTCAACTTAAACTCAAAGAAAACTAAGCAGCACTACTTCAATTTACTATTATTTGAAGATGTTTATCTTTGGATTGATTCTTCTTCATTGATCAACTAATCACAGACAGCATGAAAATAGTCCCTTAGATCTTCCTGGATCATTCATCTCTACTCTCTACGCTTTGCCACTCAAACTATGTTTCTCCTCTATGCTTTATTTTCACGTGTCTAAGATGTCAAACAGAAAGAGTTGTGGCATTATTAGAGATGTTTCCTTGAAAGACGACTTGGATAAGTTATTGCTTGTCAAAATGGTTAGTAAATAACGTTTTAAGTGCTTGGGAAAGTGGTATGTGTGACATCTGGTGGCTTATTGTGTAAATGCTGATTTACCTGCCCACAGCCACTTCCCTTTTATATTCACTGAGGCTCCTCCCATTCTCCACGTTAACACATTCCCCAAGTGGCCAGTGGCCACCTGATATTAACATAACCGGTGCTGCTTCCTGCTTCTTGTGTAATGTTTAACCCGGCATACATTCATTTGTGTGAGCTGTCACCAGATATATCATTTATCTTACCAGAGTTTAAAATATAGATCTGAAGGATTTCTCTGGAACTAAGGATTTGATTGGCAAACGAGCAAAGCATTCTTCTTATGTGAGTAGAGTAGATTAGATTGATGAATCATGTATGTCTCGTTGTAGGCTCAGCCAGAGGTGAGGTTTGAAAAAAAATGTTTGGTCTTCAGATCAATTATTAGTATGTTTTCTTTAGTCACTGATGATTTGTTACAAATGTAGGTGTCATACCATTTTATTTTATTCAACCTTTGTTTAACCAGATAAAAAGCATTGAGATAAAAATCTCATTTACAATGCTGACCTGGCCAAGAAGGCAGCAAGGTTACACATAACACTGCAAGAGCAGCTGGTGGTAAGGACCTCAGACAACTTCAATTTAAAAGAGGCTATTGGGACAAGTGCCGTCAGTTTGAGGCGTGATTGAAGGTTATTCCAAGACCATCATAAAAAAGACTCTTTTTTTCCAGCCCCAGTCCGCACAGCTGGTACCTGGAACCGTATCCAGGCACTGGTTCTGCGGTTATAAGAGTTACAAACTGGAACAAATATGGCACATATATACAGTGGAAGCTAACCTAAAATGGCTTTATACATTAATAAAAACCAATGCTGCATCCTACGCATACTAAGTGAGGACCATCCAGTTAGGCTATACAGTTTGCAATGAGTCCTATAGGGTGCATTTGATGTAAATGTAATGTAAAGGAACAATTAGATCAGGGGTGTCCAAACCTTTTTCACCGAGGGCCACATACAGACAAATCTACGAAGGGCTGGGCTGCTCACTAGAGGTGAGGTTGATTACATCATAAGTTAGAAGTTAGCCAAATCAATCAAATGTAGGTAAATGATGCCTTGTACTTGAATATGCTTTAAGAATAAACTGCCTACATCACAGATGTGGGTTTGGTTTAGGTATTTCATTCAAGAGCAAGGCAGGTTTAACAAGTATTTCCTGACTACTGCAACAACTTTACATCCAGTGGTACACATACAGCTGAAGTTACTTGCTCCTGATACAATATTATCCTGGGTAACCTGAATTGTGACCTATATTTGAAGATAAATAACCATATTAACCAATTCAATTTTCAAAGAACAAATAACATTCTTCCTTTGCAAATTTAAAATGTAATTCATAAGCAACAAACACACCAATGCTCAATGTAATGCAGTCCTACACAGCCCTACTAGTGTCCTATATGACCAGTAGTTTTGGTTGCACAATGTTAGCCAATGTTGGATGGATATCTCTAAGTTTACTGACTTTATGACTATTCTCCACTGTTGCTATTGTTATTTTATGTTTACCATTATTCCATTATTTGGGATATGAGTGGCCTCTGTTCAGAAAATGTAACGAGTCTCTCTTTGAGGTAAAGGGGAATTGAAAGTTCAACCATATTCTTCTTCAGTGATTACAAGGAAAGCACACCATTTAAACAGAGAAACACACACACACACACACACACACACACACCTTATGTAATTGCTGTGTTTTGTGCTTTTGCTGTCGCTAAGTGGCCAAAACAATCAGTTATTGCAGGTTTGAGGTACATATGACATTGCAAAACCATTGAGTAAAGTTGAAGAAGGGGAAGAAGATGAATCACAGCTGAGCCGATGTTGTAAAAAGTATCGTACGGTCAGTTTCCACTACAGTGGTGTGGCCTTAGGTTGAGGGTCAGATGGAGGTCAGTCCAAAGTAGTTCAGCCTCACAGCTACTATCTTATTTACATTAGAGGAATACAGGAATGTTAACACTTGTAACACAATTTATCAAACTGTTTCTAAAAACAGTCCGATAAAAAAACACTCTCAAAACAGTATTGGTGTTTTTTATTTTTTATGTTTTAAACAAACACGATAATTTTCAAGATGTGTTTACTAGTGTGCTTTGGAGGTGCTGGTAGACATGTTACTTTTTGACAGGCTATGTTTCAATCTTACATTTCCATTACAAAAATAGGAGACCATAATTTTGTTGTACTCTTGGCCATAATACAACTAATTATATTTAGCAAATATGTCCAAGCATTACTTTATATTTTGTGTCTATGTTCATGGCTTCAAGAAAAGGAATCCTGGGGACCCCTCTGACTTGGTGACACACACACACACACACACACACACACACACGCACACGCACACGCACACGCACACGCACACGCACACGCACACACACACACACACACACAAAGGGAGAGGGAGAATATTATTTAAATAATGCATTTACATGGACATTAGAACTTGAGATAAAGTTATCCTATTTGCATATTCAAAACTGTGATTTTGACTATGGATGTATGCGTGAATGGATGGACAACAAAATGTACCTGTTTAAGTATCTATGGTAGGAGTATAATATAAGCTATTATAGACTAGTATAAACGGAAAATCATCACTGCATCCACCAGTCAATCAATAAATAAGTGAACACAGATGAGGCCCTGTCTTTTTATTTTTGCTGTCCTGCTTTGTGTTGTACAAGTGGACTTACATTCTCTCTGTATTTTCCTTCAGGTCGATCCAGGCCTCCGTCCCCCATGCCTGCTCCCCCAGGCTTCACACGACTGGAGCAGGATGAGCCTATGAACCCGCTGCGTATCTCTGTCGGAGGCCTCCCTATGTTGGCGTCCATGGCCAACACCACTGACCCTCGTTTCCGCCTTAAGTGGCGGCCCATCGTGGTGGTGGTGTTCTCCCTGGGCCTGCTCCTGCTGCTCTTCATGCACCTTAGCGCGGGCTTGCGACCCCGGTCCTACGACTCCCACAGTTGGAAGAGCGGTCACAGTGACACACAGCAGTCCAATGTCGGTTACAATGACACCTACCCTCTCAGTCCGCCTGAGCACACGCCGCAGGGCACTCGCTACCGCATTGGGGTCATTGCCGACCTAGACACAAGCTCTCGTAGTGACAAGAAGCTGACTTGGTTCAGCTACATGCGGCGGGGACATCTGTTGGTGTCCCAAAGTGGCGACAAGGTAGCAGTTGAGTGGGATACGGACAAGGTGGTGCTGGAGAGCCACCTGTCGGAGAAAGGGCGGGGTATGGAGCTGTCCGAGCTGGTGGTGTTCAACGGGAAGCTCTACAGCGTCGACGACAGGACGGGGGTCGTCTACCGCATTGACGGTGACAATATCGTGCCGTGGGTCATCTTACCTGACGGCGATGGCAGCGTTGCCAAAGGTCAGCATTACCCTCCTCTGATGCTGTTAAACGATATTTTACATTACTATTTCCATTTCATGCTTTTTTATAATTCAACTCCACTTCAGCGAGACTAAGTCGCTACTTTTTACCCCACTGCATTTTTGTCAAGGCTCTTCAATTAGTAGTTGTCTACAAGTTGTGAATAGCCAGATATTTTCAGAGGATTTCATTTGAACAGCTCTCTGTAGCCCAAAGAGGTAAACTAATCCATTATTGCACAAAACTTAAGCAATAATTGAGTAAAATCATCTCACGATTCCTCAGATTTATGTGTTGACCCTCTGAAGGGGCTAGAGACGTAGTTTGGATACCACTTTACTAGCACCACCTCAACCAGCTACAATGGCAAAAAGGCTACAATGTCAGTCTTACTACTCCAACAATATGTATATTATTTATATTATTAACACTGAACCCTAACAGCAGCTGCTTTTTCCGGATAATAAGAGCTTTCATTTGTACTTAAAGTATATTACATTACATTACATTGCATTTAGCTGACGCTTTTATCCAAAGCGACTTACAATAAGTATATATTCCACTGGTTTTTATTTTGTGCTTTACCTTAAAAATGATCTTGAATGCAGGGCTTTTGTTTTTAATCGAGTGTTTCTATGTTTAATTGCTACTTGTTTTATTTCTCCTGAAAGGGTTCAAAGCGGAGTGGCTGGCGGTGAAGGACAAGCACCTGTACGTCGGTGGTCTGGGGAAAGAGTGGACCACCACTGAAGGCGTGTTTGTCAATAACAACCCAGAGTGGGTGAAAGTAGTGGGCTTCAGAGGGGACGTACAACATGAGAACTGGGTTCCCAAGTACCAATCTCTCAAGTCTGCTGCAGGGATAGAGCCTCCAGGTGAGGATGTCAATCAGATCTCACTCTCTATTCCTTTGTGTATTTGTCTTTGTTGACACTATACCGTATATCTCTAAATCTTCACAGGATATCTCATCCACGAGTCAGCAGCGTGGAGCGACACCCTGCAGCGCTGGTTCTTCCTCCCTCGCCGCGCCAGCAAGGAGCGCTACGAGGAGACGGCAGACGAGCGCCGCGCCTCGAACCTCGCTCTCAGCTGCTCGCCAGATTTCAAAGACATCATTGTAAGTCGGGTGGGTCCGCTCAACCCCACTCACGGATTTTCCTCCTTCAAGTTTGTCCCGAATACCGACGACCAGATCATTGTCGCTCTCAAGTCAGAGGAAGACGCGGAAAAGGTTGCCACGTACATCATGGCCTTCACGCTTGACGGACGCATCCTTCTACCCGAAACCAAGATCGGGGATGTAAAATACGAGGGGGTGGAGTTCATATAGACTGAGATACCTGCCACTGCACTGTTCTATTTTGTTTACAATCCAGTCACTGTTGACGTTACTGTACTCGTCGGTCCTCGTTGAGGCACAACTCCAACCTTAAAGGAGCGTCTTCAGTACAAACAGACAAACTATGGGCTGAGATTGTAAAATATGGTTTTGGGTTTTGAGAAATTGCCAATCAACACAAACAATGCCAGCATGTCTTGAGATGGATGATCTTTTTCCCAAGACAAATGTGGTTCCTCAACAGTACTGTAGCCTTCGTATAATGAATGTACAAAATATTGATTTATTAGACCCTGATTTATTTTCCATGCACATAATGTACACTCTCAAAGGGTCGACGGTGTTTGCCCTTTGCTCCATGATAAATATCATTGTGTACACCCGTCATGTTATTTCCAATGAAATAACTAAAGGCCTGCTTTTATTCTTCATGAACCTCAACATGATTTGAAGGACGTTTTGTTGAAAAATGAATTATGTAATGTTTTTGTTGGGATGACTTGAGTAAAAACCTTGATTCTTATTTTCTGAGTCTAGTTTTAGTTACACGTGTGGGCTTGGTTAAACAAAGAAGTCCCACAAGAAGTTAGACATTGTTCTCAAACAAGTTGAAACTGGTCCAAAAACTGTTATGCAATGCAACAGCCCAGACTGTCTGCTTTAATGTGAAACGATACTTTGGGAACACAGCGGGAAAGGAGAAGTGAAACCTGTTTTTGGCAGGACTTAAAAAGAAGTGAAATTGGTGTAACAGACGCCAGACGAGAGAAGCACATTTTGGGACAACATCACTTCATAACGAGGGACAAAAGGTAAATAAGTCTATTATATTCAGAATCAGAATACCTTTATTCCTCGCTCGAGGTGAAATGTACAATAGTTACAGCAAAGAGCCAAAGACAACTTAATTAAAAGAGTTAGCAATTTTTTCTAGTAAAGTTGGACCTTTTCATTTGTGATGCACACATTTTATGCAAGTTAAAAGTGGGGGGCGGGGTACAGGTGCTATTTTCACTCTTTGAACAGTAAATAGATTGATAGGGGAGAGTGGGGTAAGTTGAGCCACTTTTTAGTTATGCTGTCCTCTAAGCCAGGAGAAATGACACATAGTAAAAATGAAAACACACCTATAATTCAGGATGTCTCCTATCAATGGCAATGATAATAATTAATATTTGATCAAGGGCAGTGTAAATATTACTTCTTTAAAATTATTGTGGCTCAACTTGCCCCAGTGTAGGGGTAAGTTGATCCAGGTCAGAGGGTAAATTGAACCACTGTTCAAACCTGGGCATACCTATTCAAACCTGTTTACTTACCAGACCACAAAGAGTATCTCTCTTTCACAGGCAATGAGAAATGGGTAGAGCTTGCATAATTTCTGGTCACTTGATTACAACTATAAGAAGTTGCCTGGTTACAGGGGGTGGTTCAATTTACCCACTGGCTCAATTTACCCCCTTCTCCCCTATGCACAAAAAACGACACTACAGTTTCACTCTTGGAGCTTTGGGTTAAGGGTTATTAAGTTAAAATCTTAAATTGTGAAGTACAGTAGAGCATATTTATTTGACTGTCATCCTCTATGTCAGAGTCCCACACTGGCGGTTTGAAAATGCTCGCACATCGAAACGGTTTCAGTCTGTGGCTTCTGGTGCTTCTCTGTGTCTCTGGAAGTGCAATGAGATTGAGCATGTTCGGTGACGGTGAGTATATGAACGTAGCTTATAGCTCCTTTGTGTAAAAACTATTTAAATGCTTTTACTTTTGCCTGGAAACATACTTTATTAGTTTTAAATGCAGAACTGTAAACTGTTTAACATCATTAGAAATATATGTTGTGCCCTTCACCCTCAACACAGACTGTAGGTCATCCAAATGTTTGTATAGCCTCTCTGCCTCGGTTAATATTCTACAGAAAGCAGGAGAAATCCCGCGCCACGGGAGGGTGATGTGAGGCTGTTTGGAGGCGGTGTCTCGGAGGGCCGTGTGGAAATCTATCATGATGGGAAATGGGGAACGGTGTGTGACGACGGCTGGGACATGGCTGAGGCCCACGTGGTGTGTCGTCAGCTCCACTTCCCCGGAGCTAACGTTGTTGTCTTTGGGGAAAACTATGGAAAAGGTGACCTCTACTTCCTGTTATCCGCCACCAGAGGGCGGTGAAGTGATTGTAATGAGTGGGGAGATGTGATACCACCACACATTCAGAACATGTCACTTACAGCTCTGGAAAAAAGGAAGAAACCACTGCAGCATTATCAGTTTATCTGGTTTTACTATTTATAGGTATGTGTTTGAGTAAAATGTTGTTGTTTTTTATTCTATAAACGACTGACAACATTTCTCTGTGTTGGAATTCAAAAGACACTGGAATGGAATGGCTACATAATGGCTTATGTAGAGATTGAGATTTCAGAAACATTTGTAGTGGTCTCTTAATTTTTATCAGAGCTGTATAATTTGTTACTGCTAGACCAATTAACAATGTATTTCCTTTCATTTTACTTCATAGTGTCTGGACCTATTTGGCTTGATGACTTGTCATGTCAAGGCACAGAGAGCTATCTGTCAAAATGTGCTTTCACAAGCTGGGGAGCAACTGACTGCTCCCACAAAGAGGACGTTGGAGTTATTTGTGAAACAAGCAGTATGTATCTAAACTCTATCAAATGTGCATGCAGTAAAATGTTTTTGGATAGTCCACTTGAAAATAGTTAATAGAGTATTTTTATTTTTAAATGTAGCAGCGTTATTAGTTGAGATTCAACAATGATGCATTGCTTTGTTTAACAGATTATCTATAGAGTATAGGTTGAGTGACTAGATCAAGTATATGTAGCAACCTTTTTTCCAAACACAGATATTCAGATAAAAATCAGGTGCTGGACAAAATAATATGTAAGAGACAGGAAAAGTATAGTCTGCAAACTTGATCAAAGTTTCTCAAGTGTTACTTTATTAAATATTCATTCCAGTTGTTTGTGGTTCCAGACTCAAACCTGACGAAAAGTGATTCTCTTCACTCGCTGGACCGCAGCATCAGTCTCTCTGATGAGCGCGGCCAAATCTTTGACAGCAGTAACGGCTGTGACTTCCTGATCTTAGTCCAGAGTACTTCTGAAAACGTACAGGACGACGGGACCCAGGAGGTGGTTGAGACACCGATATGTGCACACAAACATATACTTTCACAATTCCCGCTCTTCAATGCTTCGGAGGGTATCAATAACATCACGGTGAACGTCAGCCAGTCTTGCCAACCTCATGTCACCACCTTCATCAGGTATGCTGAAATTACTATGGCTTGTATTGATTCAAGATACAAAACTCATATTGATATCACTAATTAGTTTTGTTAGCATGTAACAAAAAGCACAATGAACGGAATACATCTTTAAGAGTCTATTAAATATTCTACAATCTCTATAGGTACATTTACACCCGCAAGGCGGATATTGCCTTCTCATCCCTGCAGTGCCTCCACTGGTTAGCTTACACGTTTGGGGTAGAGGAGCTGATGGAGGACACAGGTCGGCTGTTCTCTAAAATCCTACCAGAGGATGCCTCGTTCCAAACCCAGGTGTCCCTTTACAAATATGCAGTGGAGACTGGGGACTTTGTCCTGGAGGAGAACTGTCTTCAGTATCTGGCCTGGAACTATCAAAATCTGACCATGTCCCCTGCTTGGACCCACATCTCCATTCAGCTCCTTGGATCCCTTCTGCTCCGCTCAGACTTGGTGGTGCCAGATGAATACGTTCTACTTCAAACTGTGGAGAGCTGGATCGAAGAGAAGGGCAACTTGACCCCTTTGGACACCCAGCATGACCTGTTGAGTCGCATTCGTTTCCCTATGATCCCCGCTGAAGCACTGTATGACCTGGAGTTCAACTCTTCTCTCTACAGTTCTCATAAGAATTTGTATCAGGAAAACCTCTTAGAAGCATACCAGTTTAATGTGCTGCTCTTCAGCAATCTCAAGTCCAACCCAAAGTTCAGCACAGACAATGATCATTACCAGACAAGGATCTACACCGCTCAGCCCTGGAGCACTGTAATAACTGCTGCAATAACTCCATTGATGACTAGGTATAACAATCATTACCAATACAATCAATTCCAAACCCAGCTTAACGTACCTATCCACAACAGCCTGATCTTCAAGAACAACCGGATCAGTTGGGGGGTTAATATCTTGAGAAACCAACAAGAATGTTCAAACCAAGGCTTGAGGTGCAGCTCATTCCCTGTGGCAAGGCTGTATCCCCAAGAACACCCCCAGAACCAACACATCCTGTTTCGTAACCGGCTGCTGCTGATGTGCCAAGGCAAGTACATCTGTCAGATTCAGGACTTCAAGGACAACATGGCTTACATCAGTGTGAATGAGACCCAGGGTCTCACCTTTCCCTGTCCTGATGACCAGTTCTCCTACCACTTTGTAGTGAGACCAGGGTATGTCTGATCCAAGGCTGATCAATTTGTCATCTTTTTCTTCAATATAGAATAATGAAGCTACGAATACTGTGATTTTTCCCTAATTACTCTCTGTTGATTATATACACTTAGCTGTGCTTTATTTCAAGTATCCTTTCCTGATTATTTTTTAAATGGCAAATAAATAAAGTGATCTCTATATCAGTTGGGTGTGTCTGCACTTTGTTTTTCACAAAAGCAAGGGAAAATATAAATCCTAACAGGAGGAGTTTATCCAGATGTGAGACACAATAAATTACACATTTTAATATAAATGTTAAATAAAATCAGCAGCCAATTACCTACCTTAGCAGATATATGGAAAACGGGGGGAAAAAGCTCACCATGCTTTTATCAATGATGACAAATTTGAGACTAGAAGTTTCCTGGAGTCTCAAATGGCAACTGTTCCCAACCAAAACATATATACATCTGCCCCATAACTCCCCAAATTATGAAATAGTTTATTTTACGTTGAATGATCAAACAAACTATACAACAATGTATTTGATAGGTGAACTTTAGAGTCAGTGTACCTCTTTCCTGTTTCCAGTCTTTGTAGCTTTATGTGATTAATATTTCATGATTTGATTTCTATTTGGGATTTCTTTGGGTCAAGGTTCACTTAAATAATTTGTTTTCATTCATAACAATCACCAATTAAAAATTCAATTAGATTTAGTAATAAATGTTGGTGCTAATTTCATGACCTACTGCACTCTCTGGATTTGTTCTATTTGGAGAATTTGTATCAACTGATTAAAAAAAGATAAACATAGACATTTTTAAAAGACATATCTTTCAAATGGTTGTACCTTGCTGAAACAAGGTAAATGTAGTTATCCTCAGTAAAAAATAAAATCATATAAAACATTTAAAGGCCATTTTTATCATCCCCCTTCTACGAAACAGAATGAAACAACACACTTTGAACCAGTTGCCTTCATCTTACACCATCAGGTAAGGCACTGGTTGTGAAAGGGGTTTGTGTTTACTTGGCTTTCATTACGGATGATATACATGTCCTTTATATGAATCATGGACACTTCCCAAGCAATTCAGTGCTCACCACTTACCAGATGATCCCTGAGTCTTCACACACACACACAGTCACAAACACACAGTCACACACAGTCACACTTTGACAACATGCCAGGACAGGTGTGTTAGACAGCCACAATTAATAATACACAGTGACTCATGGGTTTCTGAGAAGTGTAACTGACTTGCCACACTAACGCATGACATGACCAAAGAAGATTGATCATTTGATCATTTTATGATCAATGTGTATATTTAAAGGTGACTATGTTACGTGCGCTCCTGGTAAAGGGTTGTACAAGCATAGTAACGGTTCAGCTGGATGGAGGAGAGGGTGCTGCATAGAGTGATTCATTCACAATGTCATTCCAGATTATTTAGCTTGTAGTAACATCTGGATGCAATTTGATTATTGTGTCATTCAACCAACAAATAATTGCTTATGACCTACTTTGTTTTTTTAGGTCTGCCCCAGGCATTTGATATTTTTGGTTTTATGAACAATGATTCATGTATTCTTATTGAAACACTCAAACCCAAATGCCCTACCAAACATTTCCAATTTCACCTTTTGTTATAGAAAACCTGTTAGACCCCAAGCCTGTTTATCAGGTATCAGGCTCGAAAATGACATTTCTAGAACAAATGACCATAACTACACTTCTAAAAGGGGGAAATTAATAATCTATTTTCTCTAAGTAATGATAAACCTGTGAGTTGGATGTAAAAAAGTCAGAATCAATATAGATGTTTTTTATTTAAAAGAAAATTCAGATTGAACATAGTAAAAAAACTGTAAATTATAGTGTCCGTCCAAAAATTCTTTTTTACTTATAGTGAAAACTACCCTTGGATGATGGGTTAGTAGACTAAAAGCTTTAGGAATCCAAAGTACAACATATAATAAGTACCCTGTATCAAGATTGATGCAAAACAAGTGACATTTGACCTTTTTAGAGAGGTTTAGCATAAAAAACTCCACCTCTGTGGTGATTTGGGTGGAAATTAGCGTTTTTACCGTTTCTCTGGAACCCATTGGTCGATTGTCGTGATTGACATCTCTTTCTGACCGTTAGAGCCAATAGAATCGAAGGGGAGTTTTCACATAGACACTAACGTTAACACAAAAAGGTGGGGGCTTTGCGCATATAGTTTTGCATGAGTGAAGCTATCTCTCGCTCTGACATCTGGAAACGAAAAAGCAAAGTTTATTGCTTATGGATTATCAGAAATCATTTAAAAGGGACACAGACACATTGGATTAACCTATGGATTAACTTCAGCAGCGTTTTTATCGTTTTAATTCCATTGAAGACCAGTTTTGACCAGACAACGGCCAAGGTAGGCCATGTTAGCGGTTTTAGTTACCTAGCGCCACATGTTTTGATGTCTGTTCTTGTTATTACCTCCTCTTATCATAGTGATAATGTATGTACCAAACGATTCTGTGTCATCTCACGATGTGAATTGATGGGTTGGATGTGCAGAAAATATAAATAATAAGGGTTTTATGAGTGAGTTTCTGTGCAGTAATCTGTTAGCATTTTTCGCTCGTTGCTAATTCAGAGGCTTTCAGTTAGCATTGTGGGGTTTGCAAGGGAAACTTCTGTGTAGCTATGCAGTGGGAGTCACCGACTCAGGAAGGAGACACGGTAGGAGCAGTAGCTTTGATGTCAAACACTGATGGTTTATTTGGAGTTAACGGCCGGAGAGATTCACATCACAAGTCCAAGAGCCAGAGGTTCTGACTTCACGGTAGAGTTGCCACGTTAATTCTAAAGAACTCTACCTCAGACCCATGTATTTAACTAGTTCTGAGAGCATCATCAAACTGCTACATAACAAGATGAAATCATAACACCTCTATCAGCTGACGCCAACAGGCAGGAACAGGGAGACAGAACACTGAGAGCACAGCAGCCAAGGTTACGAGGTGCGTGTGCTCAGTCAGGACAGTTTGAACTGATAAACTGGGTCAAAGTTATGGGCCTTGGAAAATATTTCCACAACAGGGTTTTTAAAAAAAAAGATCAGTTAGCTGAGTTTCTTCCCGTTACATCCCAGGTAAAAAAAAATGGTATGCTTAAATTATACTTTTAGAAGAATGTACTAAGTACACTTTTAGATAAATGTGCTATTTTGGTCACATTCAAGTATACTAAAGTGTACTCAAGTAGTACTGGAGTACTAATTAATCATTAGTTGAGTATACTTGAAGTGTAAATAGTGTGCTAAATTGGCACAACTTTTTGTAAACTTTAAGTGTACTAAAGTACACCAGTTAAAATCATGATTTATGTGCATTCGAAACACACTTTAAGCACAATTGTATTATATCACCAGTGTGTTGGAAATATACTTAAAAGGGCATTCATGTGCATTCGAAACATGCTTTAAGTATATTGTATTGTGTTGGAAATATACTTAAAAGGGCATTCAGCTCAATTCATAGTAATTCATAAGTGTGTTTTCAACATACTATTATCATACTTATTCAAGCACACATGTTATATTTCCAATTAACTTCAAATGCACTTTCTGACTGTATTTAATACTTTTAAATTGTGCTATCATGTTAATAAAAATGTATTTATAGTAAGGTTCTATCACAATTTAAGCACCATAAATCCATGTATTTTAAGTATAATGTTATTATACTATAATGTAGAGTAGAAGTGTATGGTATCACTGCTTATACTACAGAATAGAAGTGTATTTTACAATAATGTTACCACTGCAAGTACTGGGTTATGTGTTACAGAAGCATAATTACAATACATCACTATTATACTTCATACACTTTAAGCTACTTCCGGATACCACTTAAGTACACACCAAGTGTGCTATTCTGTTTCATGACAAATTGCACTTCAATTATGAGAAAAACATAATTTTAATGACATAAAAACAACAACAAACCAAAAAACGTGTTTATACTAAATGTAACAATTAACAAAACATGATGGCTAAACTGACTAACTAACTTGCAAAGTCTATATAAACTAAATGGTGACCATCAGTGAGGAGTAACGTTGCTTGTATATCTCTCGTTGTTGCATTTCCTCCGCAGCAGGGCCCGGATCGCACTCACCTCGGTGCCCGGACATTTTTCTCTCACGGTGTCTTACAAAACAGGAAGGAAGCATGGGATTTAATACTTGATAATATAAACAATATATTAGATTGAAATCCATTCATAATTATAACATTAATACAGAATATCTGTACCTATAATGGCATTGACTTTCTCCGGGTCAAGGGTCTCTGCGGTTTTCCCCTTCCCAGTAAGGGTAGACTTCGCCAGGGTCTCTTTCCCAAAGATTAGCGTTGCTAGTTCCTGGGCAAAGAGAGACATCCTTCTGTTGCCTAATCTGTGGAAGAGGCGTGTGGAGACCTGGACGGAGGAGTTGCCTAGGAACATCTGTAAAAACAAAGAGGCGGATTAAAATAAGATAAATTACAAACATTGTACCTGTACCATCAAATGAACTTGAATGCTTTGCTATATTTTAAACACACTAGAGATATAATATAATAGTCATGCAAGTGTATTTCTAATGGCAACAAAACATATTTGTAATGGTAAATGGACTGTACTTGTAGAGCGCTTTATCTGGTCAGCAGACTACTCAAAGCGCTTTTACACCACATATCACATTCACACACATTCATACACTGATGGCGGAAGATAAACCATCAGAGGTAACACATTCACTCACATCCACACACCAATGCACAGCATTCTGAGCAATTTGGGGTTAGGTGTCTTGCTCAGGGACACAACAGCGCATGGCTGCCGGTGGCGGGGTGGGGATCGAACCACCGACCTTCCGATTGGTAGCTGACCTGCTCTACCACAGCCTTCCCCCGTAATCAAGTCAAGGTGTACTCAAACAGTACTCGAGTACACTTCTGTATATTATATGGGGCAGCTCTCGTCTTGGCTTCAAGGGTGTGAAAATACAATTCCATTGATCCGCAGTGATTAATTTTGTATAGAACAATAGCAATAGAGTATCATTACTAGGGTTGGGAACCGAAACTCGGTTCCAGATGAGAACCGATAAGAAAATGCCGGGTACCGGGTACCCATACAAAATACACAATTTCGGTTCTGCTTAACGGTTCCTAAACGCGGTAGACCCTGTATTCCAGCGGGTCCGTCTGCACCGCGGTGCTGCGGTGACCCGGTGGAATACAGGGCGGACCTGGAGAATCACAGAACGGCCGGTCGTCAGCGGGCCGTTGACGGCCGGCTCGGTACGCTGACGGCCGGCACCGCCCTTCATTTTTTTAAACGGCATCATATAAATTGCGCTGACAGGCGACAGAGGTCCACAGTTGCCCCGCAGCGATGCTCCCCCGCCCCTCCCGTAGACATTTCACGAGCTCAGTCACTTCATAACACCAAAGATAGGTCGCGGTAAACACTCTGAAGTGAGGCTCCACTACACTAAAAAATAAAAATAAAAGGCAAAGTGTAATGCCTGTTAATAGCTTGCCACAGGCATAGCTCAGTTAAAATAAAGCACAGCTATTGTGCAATACATTTGTATTGCATGTATATTTTTTAGTAACAATTTCAGTTAAAGCTTTTAAGAATAAATATATTTTTGTTATCTAAACGTTTGACCTCTTTATTTTACAATTTTGGAATCGAAACGGGGAATCGATAAGAACCGGAATCGATAAGCAGAACCGGAATCGAAATCGGAATCGATAAATTTCAAACGATACCCATCCCTAATCATTACTATGTAGGTCATACCAAGTCATTACTGCCAGTATTGCGGCCAGTCACCATGGCCACTACTGGAACAAGATCCTGATGAGGACGACCCTGAAATGTTGTCCAGTGCTGTCTTCATGGTAGCCACCAATCTTGGCATCTCTAAAAAGTGGGTATAAAAAAGTATCCAGGTGTAAATAACAAATTCAGACATAAAATAGTGTCAGCCGCAAAATACTATGTTCCATGATTGACCATGGTGCATTCCAACAGTCCTGATTTTCTGAAATGACGCTCTTTCTTTTGCATTTGTTTACTGTTGTATAAATGCAATAGATAGTTTATTTTCAAATGTGTAACATGTGGGAAGTCGGGTCAGGTCTCAAAATAAATGTGGGAATTTCATGAATTTTACTTACATGGGAAACACTGCACATCAATTTAAAAAAAACAGTTAAATATTTAGACCTACAAATGGTTGCTTTTTGATCGGCTCAAACCGGTCAATCGAGGTGACATCAGAATCTGAAGAGTGTTGAGGTGATTCAGATGTCACCTCTTCTGAGGGCTTGGAGGTTCTCTCAGCCTGTAGGGATCTATTGAGCTGTTCGCCCATGGCAGTTACCATCTGTGAACCAGACTGACAACATAAATCATGTTTGAGTGTGCCTTGGAAAATTACCACCCAAACACCAGGCTTAACGCTTGTAACTTAAAACAACATTTCACCCACATTACATTTCCTCATATTAAGACTACACTTTTCCATTAATCCACAGACGTTGCATGTATTTAAAAAGAGCATTTGGTAATTGTAGGATGAAAATGTAGTGGCCTCAAAATACAAAAAAGCATGCGTTATAACAAAAAGCCATAGCTGTCAATATCATTCAAGGTGAAACGGAAAATTATTTGTCATTATTTATAACAATAAACAAAATCAGTCAATGTCATTCCATTCAATCACAAACTATCAATCATCAAAACACACCAATCAAACTTACTGCCTTTCCTTGGTTTGTTTTTTGTACAGCCTCCTTCACATTTTTGACTGTACATGTCTTTCTTCTGCTGCCTCTTTTCTGGGACTCGGCTACCCTCGGATGAAAGCATCCCGCTTTTGAACCACTTCTTGGTAGACTTCTGTGAACAAGATCCAGTTCATTCTGACATTACAAAATGTAAGCACTTTGAAGCACTTTTTCGTGCACTATTGTTCACACTGATACACACACCATATACAGGGTAAAATGTAAATGATAGTGCCCATCCAAAAAACAACCATTATTTAAAGTGAAAACCACCCTTGAATGATGGGATAGTAGACTAAAAGCTTTAGGAATCCAAACTATAACATATAATATGTACCCTGTATCAAGATTGATGCAAAACAAGTTCAATTGTACCTTTTTAGAGAGGTTTAGAAGGGAAAAAAAACACTTCTGGGGTCATTTGGGTGGATTTCACCTATCTCTGGCCCCCCTTGTTCGATTTTGATGATTGACATCTCTTTTTAAGTTAGAGCTAATATAATCGAGGGGACGTTCTTAAAATCCATCTAAACAAGACCCATTGGTGAATGAGTGCTGCACCCCTGAACCGGAAGCTGCGATACGCTCTGGCTGCTATCATTAGCAGCTAATATGAAATATCCGGTTTTTACATAAAAATGGAATGAAGTATTATCAGTAATACTTTCTAAATGACACAGACACATAGGACTAACCTTCAGCCGCGTTTTTATCGTTTTATAATATAAAATAATAAGTAATAAGGCTATTTTTTACCGTGAGTTCTGGGCTAAATTTGTTAGCATGTTTTCGCTCAGGGCTAATTTAGATGCTTCTTGTGATACTTGTGCTTTGATTCGGTAAAAATGGTTCATATCTTCAGTTAGCTGAGTTTATAACCGTTTACTGAGTATGACACAATAATAGGTTTTAAAATATTAAGAAGCCTTGAGAGTGAAAAAACACCCCGCAGGACCCAGATTATGGTTACCGCCGCGTTATTAGCTTCAGTGCAAGGTGAGCACATTCAGTGCCTGCAGGAGCTCACAAGTCCTTATTTGCATATGTGAAAATAACAATTAAGATATTATCTAAGAGATAAATATCCCACACCCCTAATTTGAACATATGTTAACGTTATCATTTACCACCACCTTATACACATTTTTACTGAATAGAGCTTCATAATTGGACTCAAGCTAACGTTAGCTAGCAAGCTAGTTAGCTAGACAATAAAGCAACTATTTCTACTAGCACTTAAGTTATCAGTTACATTTCTAGAGAGACTATAACCAAAGTTAGCTAACGTTATAAAGATTTTTTCAGAATCATTTAATTTGTATTTGTAACTTACCTCCTACGAACAGCAATTTGGCTGCAACTGGCTTCGACCCCTTTTGCGGTCGACGTTTGGCAGGCCAAATCACCTCTATCCAGCCTTGCTCCAAATCGAGGTCTTCCCTGCAGGTAACTGTAACTTTTGCAGCCCTGTTTACATCCTTTATGATAGATGTATGTTCTACTCTAACCGACCCGTCTGGGAAATAGAACAGTCCAAATGTTGGTAGGTCCAGCAGAGACATGTTGAATTGTTGTAGTCTGGCTGCTCAATTTCAAACAATAACCGTCCGTCCACCGATGCACTTGGCTCCACCACAGTTGGCGCGCAAACTGCTACATTGTGATTGGGCGTCGTGAGTGACCTGCATCACGTGATGCAGGTCCAGTATTATTCGGTTTCAGCCGTTACTTTATAGCCCTTGGTCTGGTTTAACTCTAGCTAGTTGTTGGAGCTAATGACTAACAATTATATATTATAAATATGCCACCAGTACAGTCATTGTGCATTATTACATGATGGTAATAGTCCAGACCTATACACTTCCCAGAGGTGTAAACAAAGTACACTATTCACAAGTGTTATAAAATAAACACTTACAAACAAAGTACACTGAAGTACAGTTTAAAATGAACTAACATTAAAGTGCACTGTTTGTAAGTATACTTATGTACACTTCTAATGGAGTGAAACTCAAGTCTACTTAAATAAAGCATACTAATAGTGTATTACAAATGACTTGCAAATATTGAACTTTTCAAAAGTAAACTAACGTACCACCGTAAGTATTTGCAAGTTAATATACTTTTTAAAAGTAGGCTACAAATTAAGAAAAACGTATATTAAAGTGCACTTTTTATAAGAGTACTTAAATACATTTCTAATGAAGTGTATTTAAGTACTTGTTATTAAAGCATGCTAATAGTGTATTACAAAATAGTAAAAAAAGAATTGTACTTTCGATAAGTATGAATACTATAAGTATTTGCGATGTAGTACGTATAGCGAAAGTGTACTTACTTGCAATTCACAATACACTTAGTTTCAAGTACACTTTTAATAAGCACACTGAAATACCACTTTAAGTATTTCAGAAATAGTATATTTATATTTAGTACATTAAAATTGAACTAAATGACATCTATTTTGAATTATACTTTTTAAAAGTACATTTTAAACATACTTTCAATTAAGCACAAAAAGTAGAAGTATACTTGTATACACTTTTGTATACTTACATTATATTTCTAATACACTAAAGTATACTATTTTTTTTTACCTGGGATGGACATAAAACATTCATAGTTTATTACATCTTAAGAAGCCCTCAGACACTTTTGCTTGCAGATGTTGTGATTTCGGCCCCTTCGGCGGGTCCCTGGGGTTTAAGAGGTTATAGAAACCGTGATTCATGTGATGACACGCAATGAAACGTAAAACTCTTAATATTGTGTCATTTTAGCATTATATTTTCTGATCCTAAAGTTGCAGTAATATTTATTTTCATATCAAATAAGATAGATATACTTTTTGATCCCAAATTTGGAAACATCTCCGTTGCAGCAGCATGTAAAACAAAGTATTGCACATAAATTAGAAATAAAAAAAGAGTAGAAAATAAACAATTATACATATAAAAATCTCAGAATAGAAGGTAAAACATAACAAAAAAAGTGAAAATACATTTTTTTACCCTATGTGCCCCCAAATAATTATTACCTAACTTCAGTTCATCTCAAATGTACAAATCGGTTTATTATCACTAATTTATTTTTAGGCCTGCCACTTTACTGTTTTTATTAAATCCACCAGCCTTTTCACGGCAGCAGAAAACTGCAAAAAAGCTCTGATAAACCAAAAAATACGTTGCCTAAATGATAGACACACAAATTAAGCAAGTAGCTGTTAAACATTGTGGCCATGGAGAATCTAAAGCCGGATATTTTACTCGGGAGATTGTGAATAGAGCTAAGACTAAGATTTGTCAGGGGAATGGTAATTTGCCTCACAAATCCACAGGAATATGTGAATATGCACATGTCCTGCAAAAACATTTTGAGATGGGATGAGGTGATAATCTGTCAAATAAATAAATGGATGCTGCTTTAACTGCAATCAACAAGAATGTTCTTCTAACTGGGTCAGTTTCACTACAATCTTTTGAACCTAAGGCAGATATGAGGAAATGGATGGAGGTTTAAACACTTGCACAACACCAGCTTGCTCACCAGTCGTAGCGATGCCCCAGACATTCTAGTCATTCACTTCGAGGAAATTACTACAATAATTAAGTGAGTTAATTAAGTAAGTGAAAGTTTCTGTGATTTCATGAAGCACTGAGACATTTCCAGCTAAACCCACTGAAGACATTGTATGTAATGATGCTTTATGGATACGACAAGCCAACTCATGGTGACTAACTCATTGTGACGCCAAACTGTAGACAGTGCAGGGCATTTGACCCCACAGTCAATTATGTTTCTTTTGTTTTCAAGCAGATGTTTTTCTACTAACTCTGAGGTGAATGTGTCCACACTGATTTGTTCTCTCACATTGCCACCAATAAAATGTGAATAGCTGTACTGATGCATGGAAAATGATGGGAATTACCCCAGGGTCGAGGCTGGGTCACATCAAAACAAAACGGTTACGGGGAGAGGGCGTACATTCAGATAGTGGAGAAGTTACATTTTGGTCAGATAATGTGGGATGTGTGCAGGCAACAGGGCAGGGGAGGTGGGAGTCAAAGGATGTGGGTCACTGCCACAGCACCCACCAGTTCCCGCAATGAGACCCTATTTTTCCGTCTTGCCGGGCACTTCCTTTTAAGGGTATTTCTGGCCTTGCAAGTCTATAATTTAAACCATGGAGGTTCAGGCCATTCCTGAGCCCCTTTTGGAGTTTATAGTGGGTAAAGTACACATTTGGTTAACTAAAAATAAATGAAAGCTTATTTCAACTAATTTGGTAATAGATGTGTCACTTCCTGTAATGAGTCTTGGGCCGTTTCTCAATCTCGAGGATTCTGGCTTCCAAGCCAATATTTCAAGGATGCTACGTCATCGAGTGCCGCCGAAGGACTGTTCCAATCTCCAGCATACTTGGAATTCCACCGAGGCCGCGTCCTTGGTTTGGGGGAAATTTCGAGGCTGCACATGGGTCGACTTCACGTCCATAAAATCCCCACAATGCTTTACGCACAGACCAATTTCAAAAACCCTTGCGGAGAATTGCTGAACCGACGCAGCACACATTTAAATGTAAGCATAGTGGCGTAGAACATGTGTTGGTAAATATGTTACTTTGTTACATACTTTGTTTGTTATCACCAAAAATGTGTTCTGTGAAAGTAAAGCAAGTTCATAATTAGATGTCCTCCTACAAAAAACGACCATATAGGTCGATTGTTGCTCTAGTGGTCGTGTAAGAAACAACATGCTCCTGTCGATTGCAAACGCTCCGGAGGGTCGTTTATTCACAAATAACCCTCTCTGGAAAATCCTAAATTGTGGAATAGTTTGGCCATTAAAATGCTTTTTTATTAGATTTCTAGCGATAAGTGTAGCCTACATTGTACTTTTATAATCTACGTCCAGTGGATGTGTAGGATCTACAGTTTGATAGATATACGAAGATGATTTGAGGTCTCGCCAGGAGAACGTGTACTGTAGCCTATATGGGGCAGCTTCCATGTAAAGTTAGCGTGGGTGAAAACAGTATTTCCGGTGTCGAAGTTTTCATAATAAAAACGGAAGTATTCCCCACACTGTCAAATGATTACACAGTGATATCTCCATTACTCATCCACTAAAAAACATCAGTTTATCCTTGTTAATTACACAATATTGATTGGTTTAAATTGTGTAGCCTACAATGCTTTTGTGTTTTTAACCTTTGATTCGGAGAAACAAATTGTTTTTTCGGAGTTTAGACACTACAGAGTTTCCGAAGACACTACACTACCTAGAATCCCCAGCTCTCGTTTGGGACTACAACATCCGCCTTGCTTTACAAACCCCGTGATTAGTCCTCAAGCTCTGTGATTGGATGTTGGAGTGGCAGTGCGACAAGGTTACGCCGAGTGTCAAACAGCTCTTTGAAATGGAATGGAACCAGGTGTGGAAGCAAACAAGAGACAGAAATATTTGAATTTTATCAGACACCGAATTTATAGCATTGAAAATAATTACTTTGAAAATCATGTATCTGAATTTCTTTTGCTCCAAATTTACCTATGTGAAATAGAAATGTAAAAATTCAAGTTAAAAAAATTCGAATGTTCAAATTCAGATCCCAAAAATTCAAGTGAAAAAAATTCGACATCAAATATTTTGGTGTTTAAAATTCGATGTCAAAAAATTCGGTGTATAACATTCGACGTAAAAAATTGCGATGCAGCATCATCCGGGCTACTTAGACAGGATAAGCAATCGAGCCCGAATGCAATCAAACCGACTTCTGGCCTATCAGAGCCAAGCGGCGAACCCCGGGACAGTGCGGTGAGGCGGAGCCCAATGCTGCAAACTGTAGGGGATGGATGGATGCAGATGGGAGCAATTCCCGTAGACCCTATGTTAAAATGTCCAACTTAACATCAGAAAATGAACATGTTTCTAGCCTGGATCCACAAAAACATATTCTGTATATAGTTAGATTCCCCCTTCATGACAACGGGACTGCTGCCCCTAGCTCCTCTGTCTCACTGCTAGCTCCGTTAGCTCCATTGGCTCCGTGATGCTACAGCGGCTCAGCTCATGAGGAGAACACTACTTGAACTCGACCGTGTTTGTTGTGTTGGCTCCTGGTGGACTATTCGTCATGCAAATATAGGATTTATCTGCGGTTAAAACAGACCGTCCATGAATGCCGTTTCTTCGGTAGGTCAACCCTGCTTACTTTATGTTATGTTACTGGTGTTTTTATTAAGCTAACGTTAATAAATGTTTAGAGTTGGGTTAGCATTTGAGCAATCGTAGCTCCATCTGTGCTAACGATGCTATGCGTAGCATCCAAGAGTGTAAAACATTAAGTGGGATGCTACTGTATACCAAAAGGCTTCTGTGCGAGGTTGCTAAAATAAGGTCATCCTTGTACGCTAGATAGTTAGTTTGCTAGTTAGGTTACTGTATGCATTGTTAAGATTCATTTCAATTCGCTATGCTCTACTATAGCATAAAATAGACTAGCTAACGTCAACGTATTGTTGAAGAGAGGCTTAGTGTATATTAAATCAACCTCATAATAAAATGTGTGTATCTTTCAAATATGAACGTCACATTTCAAGATGGCCCAGAAATAACGCTCCCTTAGATATTGTAATATGGTTTGTTGAACTGGAATTAGTTATTGCAGCTAACCGCCTATCCGACTAACGACCCAAACATTGTTGTTTTTAATATTATTACCAATGCCTCTTTTCATTTTATTATC